AGGATAGACCACCGAGCTTCGCGCATAGGAAGAGAATTCTAAAGGGTCAGTAAACTCAACAAAGTGATGGTTGATTCACTCCCTTAAATCACAGGCCTCGGGTTTTGACCAGTTTGTCCAGTCAGAAGCCCCAGAAGAGGAAGAAGTTACAGCCTTATCCCATGCAGAGGGTTGTGAAGGAAAACTTCCCATGTCCATATTTGCAACTTTCTAAATCAAAAGATTGAGAGCAGTTTGTTCATAGTCTAAGGATGAGTCAGAAAAAGACCTTCCCATGTCCATATTTGTAAGTTTCTGAATCGAAGGATTAAGGGCAATATGTTCGAAGTCCAAGGATTGATAATTTGCAAAGGCATCCATGACCTGAATATAGAAGGGTGGGTAAAGGTGGCTAATTAATGCATGAAGGTTCTTTCGAGGAGGAATAACATCATCATATGACTTTTCGTGTGCTCGATCAATGAAGGGGATAATTGATTCGGCCATAAAAAGTGTACCAGTCTGTTCGAATACTAAGGTGGTGGAGGTGTTCAAAAGATTAAAGGGGAGTTTAATGCAAATGATAAATGACAGTTGCATTTTTGGAAACCATGCACGTTTTAAGACGTGGGAAAAGACTTTGATCCACTAATATCACCAAGTATTGGGTATATTAGTGCGGGGGGTGATGTTGGCTACATATTTTGTACAAGCCAATTACAATTCGACGCGTGGCAAAATAAGGGTAATATAGGAAGACTATTCAGGTCCTCGATCCTGATCGTACACGTGGCAGTTAGTATTGGTTATTAAGAGATCTGAGTAGCAACGGATTAACAAAGAGATACAAAGTGACGTGGCTTCAACGGTTACTCGCATTTCAGATTCAAATTTAGGAGGGAAGCTTAACTGCAAGTAATGTCCTAATGGAGCTAATATTAGGGCAAAATGATCGATGATCATGGAGGAGCTATTCGACGGTTGGAAATGCAATTCGATGGTCATCTTGGAGCAATATAAATAGTAGAGAAGGCCCCAGAAAAAACCCCTGAGACTCAGATCCAAAAAACCAGTCATTTATCCTTATTTTCCTTTCTAGCTTTACATTTACAATTTTTTACATTTACAGTTCTTTACAGTACTGTACTTTAAAATTCCTACACTGCACTTCGTTTCATAGGAGTAGTTCCAAGTAGAGTTGCTGTAAACCTCTACGAGGCTGAGTTTGGATCATTGTAAGTCTTTTCATCTTAATGAAATACTTCAATTGTTCTTCAATTCATTGTTATCTGTTTAATTCTCCAAAGTCAGGCCACCAGTAAAGTCATTTTCATTGAGGCTGAAAGAACTAAAACATAATCGTCTGATAATTGGTTGGAAATTAATTTTCTGTAAGGACTAATTGATCCTTGCTGGCACGCTCGCAATTACAACAATAACCTTCAAAAGCCAAAAAGTCAACAATACTTTTCTTAAATGTAACAACGTAACATTATAAAAAAACTCCTCAGTGTACTTTTCACAAACGTAACACTCCAATGTAACATATTTTAAAAAAAAAATTAGTGTAATTTTCTCAAATGTAACAATGTAACATTCTAAAAAAATTTCTTAGTGTACTTTTTTCCAAACGTAATACTCTAATCAATGTAACACACAAAAACTCCTTAGTGTACTTTTTTAAAACGTAACACTCTAATGTAATACCAAAAAACTACACTAACAAAAATGTAGAATTCTAACACTTCAGCCACCAATCCTCCTAAAAAGAATCTTCCACACCTCACATTTCAATTCTCATCCCCAAAACAAATCAAAGAATTAGAAAAATGAATCACAAAAGGATATTCACTTAAACTCAAATGGCACAAAATCAAATAAATACAACGTTCCAAAACAAAAATGACTAATTAGTTCATAAGAAAACTCTTATAACTAAATGGATTAATTTTTCCCCATGTAGAATTTATGGGTAAATTTTCCATAAAAAATATGAAGTGAATGATCTTAAGTATTAAAATCTTTTAACTTGAACTTTTAATAAGATGTAAATTATTTGAGGGATTTTTGACTAAAAATATCTATATATAAATATTTATTACATCTAGTTATTAAAAAAAAAGAGTGGCGCAGCAAAAGCATGGTGGCCCATAACCTACAACTCCCAGGGTCGAAATTAAAAAAAAGGAATGTGTCAAGGATTTAATATTTTACAAAAAAAATAAACAAATAAATAAATAAAAATTAAAAAATTACTAACATAATTAAGCAAAATGGTATTTACATGAAGACCCTTATACTAAAAAAATGTACAAAACGTGTTTTAATTACTAAAATATAACACACCCTATTCATCATTTTACCTCTCGAACTATTTTAAAATATCACTTTACTTTTTAAATTATAAAAACATACATTTGACACTTCAACTATCAAACTATTTATATAGTAAAACTGTTAGCAAAACATGTTTTAATTACTAAAACATAACACACCCTCTTTATCATTTTACCTCCTGAACTATCATAAAATATCATTTTACCTCTTTAAATTATAAAAACGAACAATTTGACCCTTCAACTATCAAAATGTCACACATTCGTTGATGTTGTTAACAAAAATAGTAAAATGACCAAATTGCATCCATTTTTTTTTTCTATGTCTCACACATATGTTCTCTCTTTAAAGTTCATTAGAAACCAGTACAAAGAAAGAACAGATATGTGAGATATAGAAAACATGGAGCAATTTGGTCATTTTATCATTTCCATTAACAACATCCGGAGATGGTTACATTTTGATAGTTAAAGGGTCCAATTGTATGTTTTTATAGTTTAATAAGGTAGAGTGATACTTCATGATAGTTCAAGATAGTAAAGTGATACTTTATGATAGTATAGGAGTCTGCATGTAATTAACCCATTGCTAAAGGGTACTTTGGTAATAAATAACCCAAAACTTGGCATGTAACCTTTAACCTCACGGTTTACTCACGGCTATTGGACGGAAGGGTTGTATGTTAAGGCAGTCTGATTGCATGTTTTTTTTTAAATTTTAGAGCTCAAAGTGATACTTGACAATAATTCAGATAGTTTCCAAGTAATTAACTCTTAAAACAAATCATCTATTGAATAATTTGAATCTACTTCCCTATGTAAAAATTGATAGCATTGTTTGGTAGTTCTGGATTTGTGCTGAGGTTCTACTTCTACATAATGGTATCTGCTAGTAAATGCTGGCATCAACTGTGCACAATCTTCTCTGTTCCCAAAAAAAAAAAAAGAAAACTGAGCACAATCTTCTCAACAATGCATGCATGTTCATTATGAAGACAAGCACTTTCACAATGAGCTACAATCTTTAATAAATGGTTTTAAAGAGAGAACAAACACAATTATAGTTATAGCCGTTCCTTTTTTAAAACCAATTTCAATAAATTTTTGATATTATTGTTTTCTATAAAAAAATAAATTAAAAATTCTTAAACACATGCTTTTTGAAGCCTTACATGCATATATTGAATTGAGTGGACCTTTTGCAACGGATATTTTGTTACTGTCGCTACTGATAACGCTTTTTTGCTCATATTAGTGACGACCACTTTTCCGTCTCAACAAACATATATTTGCAACAGATTCTTTTATCTGTCTCAAATGTTCACTTTTTGTGACAGAAAATCAATCCATCGTAAAAAAAAAAAAAAAAAAAACTCCGTGTCCCATACTCCCCGTTTCTTGTAGTGTTACTTGAATCTTGAGAAGATATTCTCATGAGTCCTATCTGGAACTGTTTTTACAAGTTCAATCCAAGTTTACCAGAAGGCTTATTTGTTCTTTGAAAGTTGAAAAAAGTTGTTATCCAAACTTCAGTGTTAGAATCTACATAGATTTCCCTTCTTAAACATTAGTTCAAAGATCACCATCTCAACCCTAAGGTATTGCATTTCCATTTTTGTGGTGTGAGTAATGTCACACTGAAAATTCGCAAGTGAACTGCAAAAATCTAGGGTAAAAATCCATAAAAATAAAAATTTAGAAAGAGGCACTAAAACACCCTGACTAGTTGCATATTTTCTTTTTTGATAATCGGGTGTCTGGTCAGCTTGCGCATATCTCGACTAACTCCGAAGCCTTAAAGTCAACATAATTTATAAATAATTGAAGTTGTGCCTACCCAGGAAAAACTGAATGTTCTTTGATGATCACAAACAACCATATTCCATCCTCACAGTCACAGAGACCCTTGGAATGTGAACCAAATTTGAGTCTCTTTCCAACTTCCAAAACTTGAGTATTCCTTAACTGCAAATCTTTGCTGTTTTTGTACTTTTGTTTCTGATTGATGGTGGATTGAAAGTTGTGTATCTACAACCTGAACTTCTTTGCTTTGGTCTATATATTTCTACAAGTCTCTATATTGCCAATGCATCTATTCACCTTAATCAGTAGGTTTTCATTTCCTGCATCTGACAACCCAAAAGGATTGTACAGTGAACCTTTCTTGATGCTTTGGCGACTCCGAAAACATTCATCAAGAGATACTCCTCAGAATGAGGATGCTTCTTTTTTTCCTTTTTTGTGTGTGACTCTGCTTTGTTAGTGCCAAGATGAGGATGCATTGAATCGTTCAGTTGAATAAATAGTGATATACAACAGAATTTTTGTACAGAAGTTCTATACAGATTGTGTTGGCACCTTGTGGTCCTTCTATTAAGGTTATTTTTCAACTACCCTTAATAGAGTTAGTGTTGTATTTTAATTCAAAACCTTGTGAAAGATATGCTACTATTTTTAAAAGATTAACTTGCTATCAAGTCATACCATGGGTAAAATGGATTTTACCGAAATACCCAAAGCCAACTCACTATTCCAAACAGAGTACAACATAACCTACAAACCAGGACCTAAAAGCAACAAACTCCAGCACTAACCGAACTGAGAGCAATTCGTTATCCAAGTCCATTGCTTGACAACATGAAGAAGATGAATACGGATAAACCAAAACCAGAAGGATGAACACGCTTGCAAGAATCCATAATTTTAATCATTTTCGGACAATGACAATAGAGTGTGAATAATGTGAAATAAACATTTGTCCTAACATCACAACCTTCAAGATGAAATTGAATCATCTATAATTCAAGACTTAAAAGAATCAAAATAACAATTCTTCAAAATCCCCATAAATGAGAAAACATCAGCAATACAAGAATCGAGATGAAGCAAAATGAATATTGCAATACATCATGCAAGAACTGCGAATCTATCAATGTAACTAAGTATGAAGACCAAATCCAAAGCTTTTGGCCAAATTTTGAGTAGTTTATAGCATCTATTTGCATAAAATACCGCTTGTATCATCAAGTTCTCCCTAAAGAAGTCAGGATCAACTTTCAACAGAAACAATGCTTCAAGGTCTTGTATTCATATCAAACTGTCATTCCTAGCTGATGCACATAAAGAATGGTGTCTTCTGCTACAAATATTGGTTATGCTGTTTTTTGTCCTTCAGGTAGGTCAAACTATACAGCTGCACATATGGACCCTGAAATTAAGAGCACCAAATGAAAACCTTCAGTTTCACAATGTCTTGCAACAGCAAATCCTGACCTCATACCCCCAGTATTTCCCAATGTCATTGTGATGTTCTTAAACTTTAAAAATAGGTTTATGCCCCCAACAGTGAATCTGCCATGCATAGGGTTAAACTTTAGATTCATTCAATGAAAACCTTCAGTTTCACATTGTCTTGCCACCGCAAATCCTAACCTCCCACCCCCAGTATTTCCCAATGTCATTGTGATGATCTTAAACTTTAAAAATAGGTTTATACCCCCAACAGTGAATCTGCCATGCATAGGGTTTACTTGAATGTTTTCCAAAAATAAAATAAAAAATAAAAAAATTCAGTGTTAAAAAAGTAATGGCTACCCTTCCTGGTGGAATACATATGAGAAAATGACAATTTATTAGTTCTAACATGGTAGTTGCTTTGCCAGAAACCTCTAATATGTGCTATGGGAAATGAGATGACAGACGCCCTAAAGATCTTCCCCTCCAGCTTTTGTGCATGCTAAACATTAACATTTTAAACAGAATGAAGAACTTTCTGTGACAGAACAGTCGTCTGCCCTATTAAATGCTCCTTTTATTTTGGATCAGATCATTCAGTGTGTCTGTGAGAGAGAGAGAGAGAGACCTGATGACCACGAAGAGCAGCAAAACTTCCCTTCGTCAACATATTTCACATCGAGTCCAATGAACCATGATCCAGCACTGACATCATCATGGGCATATGTACGTAGAATTGATCTGCAAAGAGAAAAGACAGTCAACTGAGTTGCTTGTAGGTGTTTATGATAAATGTTGAAAAGAAAAATAACAATTAAAAAAGAAAAGAAACAATAACCTGTTTATTGAAATAAACTGAGCCAGAGCTTTTGATATGGCATATATTTCACCAGAAGCATGTCGAAAGTATCTGTTGTGCATAGAAGATAGTTACTTTGTTACACTAGTGGAAAGATGTGGATACAGGAGTTAGCATTCAGAACAAGGAGCTGAGTAAATGCATTCATATTAGTCTAATGCGAATGCATTTACTCTCCCTCTCTCTCTCTGCATCCCTCTTTTCTTTTCATTATGCAATTTATTTTTTCTGCATGGAAGAAGCAAATAATTATCTACTAGGAATTAATCCAAGAGGTCACAAGTCATAGCAAAGGCATTACTTGTATAAATTTCAATACCTTATCTCTCAATTAGAGTTAGCTAAAACTAGAGGCAATTACTTTTAACAAACAAGAATTTGAAATTATCTATTGAGGAACATAATCCACAAGGTAAAATCAAATGTAGCAATACTCACGATTTTCCATCACCAAATTTCCACCAGTCTGGTTCATACCATCTGTGGGTCCTGAAGAAATCAGGTAATGCACAGAAAATAAAGGAGAGTAAATACAATGTCAACTTCTAATTACCTAAACTAGACAAAGGGTAAACAAAACATTTTAATAAGACTCACGGCTCAGAGAAAACTTCGCCTGATTTCATGCACCCAATATAAAGACGAGGTTCATCCAAATGACTAGCAAGTGTCGCTCCCAGGGCATCTGTATAACAAAAGATAACCCATGTAAATAAGCATAGATGGGCAATTTCCCAAATATTATAATCTCAAAGTAATCTGAAACAACCAAATAGCTAACTGCTACTTTGGTTATTCTTTGTTATAAAAAAGGCAATTGGTTTCATAAATTATGAATAAGCTACAAAAACAAAACATTTATTTTACTGTGTTAAAGGATCAACTCTGTCAGTGACCAGCCCTTTGATAAAATAAACCAAACCTGAAAATTCCCTTTAGCAAGTAAAATGCTTCATGCCTGATGCCAAAACACAAGATTTGTACTATCAAAAAGGTACCTCAACGATGCATCACAATGCTATTAACCACAGTAAAAAATACTGCTATTACTTCATTTTTTATCTTCTTCATTTTTTATTTTTGGAGGTGTAATTCAAATATGGTTATCTAGAATATGGTTTCATAGGACACGAGTCACTTTTTCCAAAACCTTGTTTTTTTTTATCACTCATTTTCCAAAACCTCTTTGAATGTGTTTTGTATGTTCTGTCAGAAATAGGGGAGGGGCGGTGAGGTTCTAATTCATTAAGCAGTTAAAGAAGCAACAAAGAGAGATACTTCCAATATTTTAGAACATTCTAACCAGAAACAGATAACTCCAGAATAACAATGCTATTGAGATTGGTAACTAGAGTTGGCATCCTAAAAAAGAGAGATACTTCCAATATTTTAGACCATTCTACCCAGAAACAGACAACTCTAGAATAACAATGCTGTTGAAATTGTTAACTAGAGTTGGCATCCTATCAGAAAATAACTTTAAAAACTGAAATTCTCTAATGAGATTCTACTTGAATAAGGGCTCTTTCCTCTTTTCTTTTTTCTTCATATCAAAAGCAGACTCATGCAGTCTTGCAGGTGAGACACAGAATAATGCAGGCACATTACATTTTTCACCACTTAATCCAACAAAATGAACCACGTACCAATATTAACATAAACATCATCATTGACCTTAGCATAGAACTCAGCATCCCAGTGCTCCACCACATGAATAAAAAACAACTTTGTCTTTTTTGGTTGCTCCTCAGGAGCCTCTATGTGATCGTTCTGAACAGAGAAAAGAGAGGTTATATATTTGCTCCATTGAACATTCCAACTAACTGCCAACTTAGTGTATCATCAATGAGATATAAATTTATAGCATGGCATTTCAATTGTTATTATTATTTTTTTTTGGCATTTGAATTTTATTCATATATAAATGCAAGCATGCCCATGCATGTGAGTGCATGAGAGCACACAATAGCACCAGTGCTCAGGTTTCAAAATTAGTCTTTCAACCTCTTAGGTGCAGGATATTTATTTTTTTCACAACAATTTCATTATCCAGAGAAAGCTAAATGTCGTGCTAACTGCATTTCATTTTTCTAGACCACCAACATGTGTATCTCCTTAACATATAAGAGTGGAACATACAAGTATAATGAAGTCGTTAGTCTGCCCATTTTCATTGTCAATCTCCCTGTCCATACTGTCGCCACGATTGGCACTGCAGAATACATAAACTTCATTAAACAGAGATCACTAAACAAATTTTTAATCCAATTTCAACTCATCAAATAAAGACCTTCTTCCTATTACAAATCGTACAATTATTCCCTTCTCATCCTGCAATTTCTTTAAAGCTGCACCTGCATGCATTGGATTGTAGATAGGTATTAGTGCTAGGAAATAATTTTAGAGAGTCAAAGCAAGATACTGCTAAACTAGGAATTTCTAAAAAGTGAGTTGCAACAATATAGAGTATCATCTACTTTGATTAAACAAATACCAATTGATTCATAAATTCAAGTTCATGATACTATAGAATTCCTATGCCATGTGATTTTAGTATTCAAACCATGCTTGAGGAGACAACAAATCAAAGATGGTCAAAACTCAAGTGCAACCAATCTCTTTGATTTCAGATTACTAGTACTAAATTTTTAAGTGATCATAAGAAGTTGAAAACTGACAATAATAAACTAAATGCAGTACAACACCAAGGTGTAATTGCCAACATCCTTCCTAGATAATATCGCCAACATCCTTCCTAGATAATATCCTTCCTAGATAATATCGCTGATATGATTGAAGAACATTTATCCACACATGTTTCCACAAGCATCCATTAAACAATTGGATTCTCAGTAATCTTACACAATTTGTATGTACCCTTATTTATTTATTTATTTTTGATAAATAAATGAAACACATTAAATGCCCTTTTTATTTATCGTTTTACTAATGGATTTGGAAAATTGGATAAAAAAAAGTATTTCTAGTATCTAGTCTAGTGGTATTAATCATTATTGACGTCAAACATACAAAAAGTAAATAAAGGTTGAAACTCACGAAAAGAAAAGGTATTCTACCAGTAGGCATCCATGCCTTGCGGATAGCATCTCTGTTTTTCTTGCGGCCAAACTTTGTAATAATTCCTATAACGGCTAGAATCTTTTTCTTTTTATGGGCCCCACTATTTTCTGAGGAATGCTTTGAAACAAAACCTTCCTCTCTTGCTTTAGCCAGCTCCACCTCAAGCGCTGCAAACTTCTTATGCTGTTCTCTGGCAAACAAAACATCCATCACTGTTTCCCAAGTGTATCACTCAATTCAAATCAAGAACCATAAAATTGCAAAAACAAGTTGGAGAATAGCACAATAAACTTACCTGCATGTTATGATTTTTAGTGTGTCATCAACAGATATCGCAGATTGCCCCTGAAAATGGGAAACCAATATATGAAATGTATACAGATGTAGAAACAAGAGTCCTACAAATTTTCCAAATGACGAATATAACAAATGTATACATACAGATATAGAAACTATAGCCCTACACTTATATAAGCAAAGGACAACTCGTCAAAATGGCTAATAGTAAAGCTTTACGTGTTTCATACTCATGCCCTTGACCACGGAATGGAAGTATGAAACCCATTTTGCTATCTACCTGAAACTAAATGGGTATTCAATTATGGACTAAAAGATAATCAATTTATGTCTCTATAGCTGTCATTGAAATAAGGCCTATCGAGTAAGAGGGCAATGCCAAGTGGGCATGAAGATTTTTTAGCTTTTCTACAGTTTTTCCATTGTATATTTATAATTGCCTTACTTCAGAACCTTCAGGCACTCTAAAGATTGATTTTTTTTTATTAGTAATTCAACAATTTGATAGTCAATTTCCTCTGTTTACTTGTCTAAACAGATATAGACACAACACAAAGTATATTTTCACAACAAATCTGCATTTAATCATGACAGCATAAAGGAGTTAATAAAGCTAATAATAGCAACAATAACAATAACCACAATGGTTATAAATTTGTACTACTAGCATGGCATAGAGGCATCGAGGTAATTCATTTGAATCTAAGGCAATGTTTGGTTCACCGGAATGTAACAATAACCATCAAAATATTCACTTCAATGTTTGGTTAGACTAAAAATAATGACAAATGCACCACAAATGGAATCATCTTTCACCGTAATAACAGAATGGTTATTCCATAGAAAAACATAAGAAATCACCACTCCATTCCATTCCATCTCATTCCGATGAACCAAATAGAACATCAAAATAGTGAAAGAGAAATTGTAAGCAACCCAAAAATTAAAAATCTAGCTGTTATAGTGAAAGGGTACCTGACCAGTTCTCTTATCAAGCTCATTAATTAAATAAACCCTGTTCTGGGCATCCTGCCATAACCTGTCAACAGTACATTTGTTATCAAAAATCAAGTCACTATATCCCCCCCCCCCAAAAAAAAAAAAATCAAAAGTTTTTTTTTTGTATTTAATATATATATATATAGAGAGAGAGAGAGAGAGAGAGAGAGGAAGGGAGAGAGAGATGACCGGCCGGCAACGTAGAGGGAAGCCATGGTGGCGAACATGGAGAGCAAGAGAAGTGAAATTCGAGATCGAAAAGCCGAAGCAGATAGCCGGTTACTCGATGCCCGGCTATGCATTTCTGTCTCTTGCAGTGTCTTTTAGAGAGATGTATTCGTAGGTTCTTCAAGCAATTCTCATCAGCGATCGATGGGAATCGGATTTCTTCGATTTGTGAAATGGATCTGGGTGAATTGAAAATTTGAAAGCTCGATCGAGAGCGAATCTGATAGCTCAAAGATCGATTGGCGAATCAAAACAATGTATATATATATTGAGAGATTTTAGGAGAAGACGCAAGAGCAACGATTCTGGGTTTTGAAATAAGTGTGGGGTAGAAAGAGAATGAGATTGAGACTACTCAACCGGTTGATTTGGTTATCTGTCTTCTTCCAAGAACAAGAAGCAGCAGCTCAGGCACGCACGCCCAAACCGAATCGAAAGACCAAAGTAACGGCAGCTACTGGGGTGTTTGGTGTACCTTATAATGGCCTTGTTTGACAAAGGTTAAAATAGTTAATTTTAATCAGGCTCGGTGACATTGTGGTTAAGATTTGGGATTTAAGTCACAAGTCATAGGTTCAATTCTTTTATTTTTGGGCCAATCTCTTGGGCGAAGCATAGTTAGTTAGAAGGTTGGATCTCAAGTTGTCCAATCAGCACTTGGTGTAGGTTCAATGCTCCCCTGCTGTGCGAGTCCTGACTTAAGCGGAGCTTGTCTTGGGAGGCCTGCTGTGCGAGTCCTGACTTTAGCGGAACTTGTCTTGGGAGGCCTGCTGTGCGAGTCCTAACTTAAGCGGAGCTTGTCTTGGGAGGTCGGGATAAGTTCTCAGGTTATAATCTCCTCGCTCGGAACGGCTTGGGAGGCCTGCTGTGCGAGTCCTGACTTAAGCGGAGCTTGTCTTGGGAGGTCGCGGCAAGTTCCCAAGTTATAGTCTCCTCGCTCGGAACGGCTAACAGGATACCCTAGTGATCTCTGCAAGGGGCGCTGCCTTGGACCTGCGGGAGGGTAGGGAGGATTTTCCTGTAACAAAAAAAAAAAAAAAGGGTTAATTTTAGGCTAAAAAAAAAAGTATTAAAATAGTTAATAAGACAAAATATTATATCAAACCCATAATTATATCACTTTTTCTTTCACAAACATCACATTTAGGCCAAGTTTGGCATATTGCAAAAAAGTCAAAAAGTCAAAAAGTTACTCAAAAAGTTAAAAAGTTAACACTATTCACCAAAAGTTAACAATTATGGTTGCACAACTCTCAATCCTAATTTTTCCTTACAAATCAATTTTTAAAATTTTTTATTACACATTTTTTCATAAAAAGTCAAAAAGTTAATCCAAACATCCATATTTTCTTCCTCAATTTTTTAATCCAAAAAGATAAAAAGTGCACTTATTTAAGACACCCCAAACAACCCCTTAACTAAAAAAAATTCAACCATATTTCCAAACACAAAAAATTTAACCTACTAAAATAGTTAAAAACTAAAATAACCTACTAAAATAGCCAACTTCCTAAACAAGGCCAATAAGTTACCGTGGAGATATATTTTCTGAGTACCAACACGTGGCCATGGTGACGCCGACATGTCAGCCGAGGTGCCACGTGTCCTAGACATGACGCCGAGGTTATTTCCGAAGATATCGGAATTCGGGATAAGCGGATAAGAGACAAGAGTTCTAAAATGAGAGAGGATCTCATCTTAGATAAGGATAAAGCTCTTAAGGGAGTTTATCTTTATCCATTGGAGAGTCCATGATAAGCGCTAAACTAAAAGTCCATTGAAGCTAGGCTTCTATTGGGACTGAGTTTGTGTAAGCTATAAAAGAGAGGCACCCCCGTGGGTCTAAGGTACGCAATTTATATTCTGAACAGTGAGTTAACCACTATTGATTATCTTTGAGATAACTAACTTGATCGTCAGAGTGCCCCTGGGTGGACGAACCACCGCTGGAATCTCTTCTTTCTGTTGCAGGTCAATCAAGCGCCATCTATTTTGCCAGTGCTCTCCAGCTGAATAGTAAGTTGGCAGTGTGGTCGGAAATTCACTCACACGATTTGGCGCCGTCTGTGGAAAAGAAAAGAGAATAGATGGCCAGCGACGGACAGAAGGATAAGGTTGGGGATGAAACCCCTGCTGGGAACGGTAAACGCATTGATCCTAATATGGAAGAAGATAGTCGCAATGAGGAGACTCAGAACCAGAATCACGGCAAGGAAGACGTCGGCCAGGATGGTGACGTACCAAAGAAACCAGATCAAAGCGGGTACTACAACGATGATGACCTCTAGGAATGGAATGATAGTTGCCTGCGGAGGGACGAAGAGGTAAAAGAGATGGCGAACAAATTGGCAGACCTACAATCGGTCGTCAATTTTATGATGCAAAACAATGTCATGCAGCCACCGTTCCCGCTGCAGGACACACCGATTCCAGCGACCAATGCCCAGAAGGGAGGACAGAAAACAATCCCTATAGCCTCCCAGCACACCAGGAGCGAAAGACACTCTCACCGGTCTTCAAGGGAGGTTAGGCGAGGAGAGTCGAGGAGGGAAGAATCTTGAAGGACACATCGCACCGAGGAGGCAGACCCTAAAGAACATCGGCGTGTTCAAGGGCAGACACTGTGCTTCGACACAACTAGTGGAGAAAGGTCGAAAAGGGCTCACAACGATGCTGAAAGTAGTGCACCAAAAAGATTAAAATCAGGAGATAGCCGAGCTCCTGGGCAGAAAAAGGAGGACTTGAGAGATTACCTCAAGAGGAAGCAACAAGATGCCGAGGTAACCTCCCATGTTAAGCCGAGAACACCATTCTCGGCAGAGTTGGACAAATTTGAGGCCCCAAAAAGTTTCAGTATACCAAGGTTTTAGATATACGACGGAAAGTTAGATCCCAACTTTCACGTCAGATTATACCTAAACTCAATGGCACTATACACTGGGAACGAGCCGTTGCTCTACAAGGTGTTTCCCTCATCCTTCGGAAAGATTGCATCAGATTGGTTTCACAAATTGCCAAAGGGAAGTGTAAAGACCTGGGAGGGCCTGGCCAAGATGTTTGTGGCCAGGTTCGTGACAAACAAGCTACAACCATTAAGGGTAGACGCATTGATGGCTCTGAGAATCAGCAAAGATGAGGGACTTAGGGCCAACGCAAAAAAGTACTATGAGGTGTTTAACTGAATACCCGAGTGCAATCAGGAGGTGTCAGTCATATCTTTCAAGAACGGCCTAAAAGATGACTACCCACTACGAAAGTCTTTGGCAAAGACATTGCCAAAAAGCATGGAAGAGCTCATGGCCAGAATTGAGAAGTATGCCAGAGCCGAGGAAGACACGTCGGGAGCTAAAGAGACAAAGCAAGAGAAAGGTAACGGCTCGCCAAAGCGAGGCCGAGGTAACAATGGGTCCAACAAGCAAGAGATAGGACTGAGGGCTGCACAGGTAGTCACAACTGTGTTCCGAATCCTAATCCACAAAGTCCTGGACAAAATCCGATCCCAACCCTATTTCAGAGCACTAGCTAGGGTGCCAGGAGAATTTATGGGAAGGAGGCTTGGTAAGCATTGTACTTACCATAACGAAGATGAGCATATGACTCAGGGTTGCAGAGCCCTGAAGACACACCTAGAAGACCTGGTAAGACAATGCCACTTGAGGGACCTTATAGATGAGGCCAGGACGAGGGAAGAGAAGACAAGATTGCCTTAGGCACCAGGAGCTCCACCCCCCCAGTACAACAAGCGCAGGCGAACGAACCTCAGGTAATTAATGTAATTCACTCAAAGGTCAACGAAAATGAAATACGGGGGGAGACCTAGAAGGTAAAGCACTTGTAGCACGTATACCAGGTCGGGGGAGAAACGATATCGGGCCGAGGAGTGTCAGGGACCAGTAGTGTCCTTTACTGAAGCAGACCTTAAGATGGTACAACATCCACATAACGGTGCCTTTGTAGTATCCCTCCAGGTTGGGGAGTGCCAAGTGAAGTGCATCCTAATTGACCAAGGCAGCTTTGTGACATCATGTATGTCAAGTGTTACAAGGAGCTTGGCCTTTACCCAGACGATATGGAGCAATCCAATGGCCCAATGGTCGGGTTCAATGGAATGTCGACATGGCCACTTGGAACAACAAGCTTGGAGGTGCAGGCTGGCACCAAGAAGATAAAGACAGATTTCACCATAATCGACACACCCTCCCCTTACAATGCTATCCTAGGAAGGCCATGGTTGCATGCAATGAAGGCTATTCCCTCAACATTGTATCAGCTACTGCGGTTCCAAACAGAGCATGAGATAGAGGAGGTCAGAGGAGATCAGCTGTAACCAAAGACCTGCTCCATGGCAGCAATGAAATCCACCTGCAGCGTGCGAGAACTAGAAAGGGCAGAGATCAAAGACGAGGATGTGGAGGTCCTAGAGGACATCAGCAAAGAGCCAGCCGAGAAGAGTGAGGAAGCACTGAAGAAAATCCTCGTCCAGGAGGGGGATGAAGAACGCTTCTTCCTTCTCGGCTCGGGCTTAGCCGAAGAGGAGGAAAAAGAGTTTGAAGCTTTCTTGAGAGCAAACATTGAGGTGTTTGCCTGGACGCCTTACGAAATGCCTGGCATTGACCCTGAGGTCACTTGCCATAAACTGAACGTTGACAGGTGAGCCAAACCTGTAATCCAACGAGCAAGAAGATCGACATTGATGCATGTCGAAGTAGTGGAAGATGAAATAGACAGACTTCTGGAGGCTAGGGCCATTTGAGAGGTAAATTACTCGACATGACTATCGAACATAGTGGTGGTGAAGAAAAAGAATGGTAAATGGAGGGTCTGCGTGGACTTTACCAGTTTAAACAAGGCCTGTCGCAAAGACAGTTTTCCTCTACCCAAGATTGACCAACTGGTGGATGCCACTTCAGGGCATGGAAGGATGAGCTTCCTAGATGCCTACAGGGGATACCATCAGATAGCCATGTACTCTCCAGATAAGGAGAAGACTGCGTTTATCACCTAAAAAGGCTTGTATTACTACAGAGTGATGCCTTTTGGGTTGAAAAACGCAGGAGCAACTTACCAAAGGTTGGTAACCAAGATGTTCAGACACCTGATTGGCCGAACGGTAGAAGCTTACATCAATGACATGGTTATGAAGACCAAGGAACCAGAAGGTCATCTGACCTACCTAAAGACAGTCTTTGATATCCTTAAAACATATTGGCTCCAGCTCAATGCATCGAAGTGTGCATTTGGAGTTGGATCTGGTAAGTTCTTGGGGTACCTGGTGACCAGAAGGGGCATTGAGGCCAGTCCAGACCAAATCAAGGCCATCCTGGAGTTGAAGAGCCCGATGTCGGCAAAACAGGTACAAATGCTGACTGGAAGGGCCGCAGTCTTGAATAGGTTCATAAGTAGAAGTTCAGACAAGTGCAAATCTTTCTTCAACTTAGTAAAGAAAGCCACAGATTTCTTA